TAATGTATTATTAATGACAAGACCAAACTGAGCAGCATGGGGAAGCCATTTGCACTCATTTTTCTATAAAATTTCCTCAGTATGTATCTGAGATGTAGCCCAGGGAATAAGAGTGTCCTGGATTCAGCCTTAAATCAGTGTCTAATGATGAGAAAGTGGGAACACTAAAGCAGCTTTTCTCCTAATAAGTAGTTACGGGGCAAATGAGAAGAGACCAAGGAGTCATCCCAAGGAACTGAGCTCCTGAAAAGATCCTATAGGAAAGATAAAAAGAGCACACAGTTACTGGTGGCTGAAATGTAAGCAAGGGAGCTTAAATTGGGACAATTCATTTATGAAAAGGTAAGGAACCTACCAAAACTAAAGAAATGAAGTGTGGAGAAAGAAGGAGTTTTTACGAGTTAACATCTGCATGCAGAAAGGGAACCTGTACATGAAAGCCTACCTTCATGCAGACTTTGACCCAAGACTGTCTACCAAATATTTTTTAAGTAATGCTTCTCTTAATGATAGATTATAATTCTATTTGCTTGAATTTTAGAATTCCATTGTTGCTTGGCAATAAGTTATATGCCTAGAAACCCCAAATCTCCTATGTCCTCAATATTTAGAATATAACAGGAACCCTTCGTCAGAAATAAAATAGAACCAGACTCATATTTGTGCTTTCTTGGTTTTATTTTCTTTTCAAGTTAATTAATTCAGGGGAATGAAAAGAGACACTAGAAATAAAAATGTTGTTACTTCAGCTATTGTTAAGTTACTAAATGTAAATGACCCTTTTTTGCTGAGTCTCATAAAATATGTGATACTTACGCACACTGAAGTTTTAACATTAGCTGCTTATATTGTACAAAGGTATTTTTGTCCCTTTAAAGGTTATTTTCCTACATTAAGAAAAATTTCAAGTATTAAAAACTTTTATTGTGACTCAGGTTTTGTGTCTATATAGAGACACAACATAAATAGGTGTTTTTCTTTGCACATTTGTTTTGCACAGTTAATGAGGTTAAACAATCCCCAGGTATGCAAGGTCAACTGAGCTTTATGATAGCTAGATTAAGGAAAGCATTTGACAAATGGACAAAAGAGATCATATTGTATTTCTTTAAATCTCTCTTAACCTCTTTTCCTTCTTTAGCCATCTACTGAAAAATAATACCACCACCACACAAAAAAACCTCTCCTACTTAGGAAGTATGATGTAATTTTTCTGGAAAGTTCATGGAAAAACCAAGATGAAACTCTCAGGCAGACAAAGCATAAAGCAGCTCCCATATTCACTAAAAACTTATTTTTAGAATGTACAACTAAAATAAATTTTATTTTCATTAGTTGAAGAGTCTTTCCTCTCAGAGGACTCTTACCTGCCTTCAATGTGGAAAAGGCACCTGTTCAGGTCCGAAAGGAACACTGTATGTTAAGTTCTATTCTAGCAAATGTTAGTTTTGATGATACCTAAGTATCAGTGGAATGCAATAAATCTTTAAATACTTTTGCTTTATGATGTTCAGGCATTTTCTTTTAACATCTTCAACTATATTTCCCACCTCAAAAATGCAAGCCTTACTGTTTTCAGTTTGGAATGAAGAAAACTGGTAGGAAGATAAACCACATATTCTTTGTTTGAAGAGCCAATCAAGTTTCTCTTTGTCCTTGGTGGACAGAAAGGCCTAATAGGTAGTTTAAGGACTATGATATTGTCTTCATCTGAGGAAGGAATTTTTTCAAAGTTTAGTTAAAAATCAGAGTTAAAGGTACTGAATTGTTTGCGATTTCAAAGACTATCACAAATAACCTTAAAAGATTAAGGTTTGTGAGTGCTTTAATTTCATTTTTCTCCCTTTAGGCACCCTCACTCAGATGTACGTAAGTAAACCGTAACATGAACTAGAGTCTCTTTCTATTCAGAAAAGACATAATAAACTAACAGAGCAATTCTAAGCCAAGAATATGATAGGTGTTTAATTGACTTGTTATGAATTATAAGTAAAAGGATATGAAATACTAGGTTTTCGGGTTTATATTTTTCAGAAGTACCCATAAAAATTAATCTTTCATCCTAAACTATTTGATAATTGATTACTTTTGACCTCAGTTATTTTTGGACATGATCTTTTTATTACTATATAAAGAAGTTCTAATTTCACCTATGTAAAAAATTTTCCATATGCCAAATACACACATTTTCCATTTTTCATTTGAGGTCATATAATTCATTCAGTGAAATATTTCACTCTCCTGTAAGTTTAAGTAAAATTTCTAAGCAGTAATACAATTTTAGGTCATTATTTTAGACAAATGAAGACAGTCTCTGCACTCCTACCCTTTTTAATATCCGATTTCACTACCATATATGCAGCACAACAGTGACATCTTAAGGCCAAGTAACCGGAGCTCCTTTAGCTAGAGAAAGAACTTGAATTGGGATCTCATCTCAAAGAAAGTCCATTATATTATCAAGTAGTTTTCAAATTTATAATATGTGATCGAGAGATCTTTATAAGTGCTTCTTTATGACTTCTTTTTTTGCAGTTTTGTGAACATTTTTAATGTTGCATTAGTAAACGCTAACATTTTACATAGACATGTTGTGTATTAATGCATGCATTTCACTGCATAGTTTATTGACATTCCCTATGTAAAGCTTTTATGGAAGAACCAACAAGCCACAGCAGAATAGCAAAAGAGTCTTAATCTTTATAAATTGGGGCCTTTTCTGTCTCTTTGCTAGCCTAGGTGGCTATATACAAATTTGAATGGGATGGGGCGGGAAACACCTCTTAACATTTAAGGTTTTCTACTTCGGTGTACTCTAGCCAATTCAAAATAAATTGCTTACTTTAATAACAAATTTTACCATTTTATAAGAAAAATTAAATCATGATATGTTTAACTGAAATGGCTGTATTGTAATTAATATTTTGAGATGATTGTGATTTTGAGCTTAAATTATGTATAAACATTATCATTTTTGTATGTGTTAAAAAGACTACTGTATCACAAAAAATTAATAGTACTTTTTAGTTGAACTACATATTGATGTAAATAAACCTGAATGAAGACATATTTACTACTTTATTAACATAGGTTGTGAATGTACTTAATGGTTTTTTTGCAGTATGAGACCATAATGACCTTGAAAGCTGCTTCATTTTATGTGCAAAGAAGTCCTATGAATCTATATTTTAAATTTACCAAATCAGTGAAATTAATTACTTTGTCAGTTACTTTGCAAATGCAAGCTTTATTCTTCCAGTTTTATTTTATGTATTGACACTAATCAGTAAAGGTGTACAATGTGATAAGAATGCATTTTGAAGATGCTTTCTGTACAGATACAAAATACAGGGACTAAAATAACGCTGTGCAGTGTATAGCAGAGCCATTTTTCGGCTTTGGTGTACTCAACTTTTTCAGTATTTAAAAAAAAAAGTGTTTTGAATAACATAAAAGTCTCTTTATTGTACAAATAATAAAATGTCACCTTATTGTAAAGTGTCTTTTGTTCAATATCAAAGCAAACTTCTTAATCCATCACAGTATGAAAAGGGAACATTTCTTTTAATCAAAAACAAATATTATAATCAATATTTGAAAAATGTAACTTCTATTATGACCATATAGTATTTATTTTTATTAGCACTGATTTTTTTCACAATATAAGCATGCTTCAATCATCCAAAAGCGTTCTAGCTAACCATCTAAATTAATACACATACTATTGAATTGACTACGTAATAGAATCTAATGTTAAGTTTTATAATGATTGATCAGCCTACTTCTGATATTTTTGGTGTAAACAAAAACATTTTATATTTGATCTTCATTAAATCACATTTATATCAAATTCCCTTTTAGAAAATTACCAAATGACTACAAGTTTGGTCTTACCAACATTGTAAGTTTTAAAATTAAGGTACTAGAAATAAAAAGATGCACAAAGTGGATTAAAACATACAGAGTATGTTAGGTATACAAATCCCTGCTTAATACATGTTTGAATACAGTACATTTCAAGATTTCTATGCAGTACATGTTATTAATTGTTGTCGTTGTTATCTATAGAATCAGTAGGTTAAAGTTTTCAGTACATTTTTTTTTAACAAAAAGGTATTTTAAAATTCTCACATTCTAGCTTAGGGAAAAAATATTCAGATTCAACCTCTTTAATGCTCTTGAATATGAAAACTTAATACTAAGATATCATAAAACTTGTCAAATTTTGAATTAAAAATTGTGAGAGCAATTATAACAACTCCCTATTTTCTCCATCAATAACTTTATTTTGGGTGGCATTTCTGTGACATTTACAACCCTGATAAAATGATTTCATAAAACAGGGGAAAAGACCTACCCAATAGCTAGAAAATAAGCATTTTAACTAGATTAAAACAAAAGCAGAACAGTGAATGTTAATTGAAAACTTCTACCAAGACCAACCATATCACAAGAGCTCTATATCATGGGTAACAAAAAGTCTTATTTTTTTAAATTCCAAGGAATAGTACTCTGTAAAATTCAATTCACTATCTATCTAATGAAAAGGTAAAAACTGAGTAGTCATATTCAAGTAAATTGGTCATGTTATATGTAATACAAGCAGAGAAGAAAAAAGAAAAACACTTATACAAAAATGCTCTGTCATTATAAAAATAATTCACCTTAAATAAAATTTTTAAAGAAATTGCTTGCTATGTTATAAGGGAATGCGAGTGGGTGAGATAAATTCTGTGCAAAACATTCAAAACAAATGTATGGACACTACACATGGTTATCACCATTAGAAACGTACACAACATCTTGGAAAAAATGTTAAACAGTTGTCAATGTAAATATATTCTGTGGCAGTGAATATTGCCCAGGCCAATTATACCGATGGTTAGGTGAAACTGGAAAACTGTAAGATCAATTATAACAATCAGCTTGAAGATGATACTAAAAGAAAATATTATATACTTTTAACAATTAATTTGGTAGGATTATAAAGCAATTCCAATCTAAGTAGGAATTCGGTCTCTCAAATATTCCAGGATAGCAGCTGTTCCTTTCATTAATATGGCTGCTCGAGGAACACGGAATGGATTTCCATCTAGGAGTAATGTTCTAAACAAAAGAAAGAAATTATGAATTTAAACATTTTCCATTAGAGAGGCTTTTCTTCTCATTTCATCTGCGATATGAAAATAAAAATTTTATTTATTTTTTCTATTTGTTCTTTTTTAAATCTGGGCATGTAAACATTTGGGATTACAACTACAATAATAACCAAAACAACATTAATTGAATGCTTATCAGGTGAAAGTTACAATGCTAACTAATTTACATTCTTTGTCTCTCTTTTAATTCTCTTAACAGTATGATGTGTTGTTGTTGTTGTTATGTGCCGTTGAGTCGGACCCGACTCATTGTGACCCCTCCTTGAGTTTCTGAGGCGGTATCACTATGGAAGTAGATTGCCCAACCTTCCTTCCGAGGAGTGGCTGGTGGGTTTGAACCGTCAGCCTTCTGGTTAGTACTCAAGTGTCTTAGGCACTATGCCAACAGAGCTCCTGAATGAAATATCTTCAATTATAAGGGAATTTATTATTATTTTTTTAATAGCTTATTTATTTAAACAAAAGTAAAGGACTCATACCATATATTATGCACTAGATATCTTCACAATTTTCTATGTGCCCTGGAAATTCTTTTAAAGGCTGATTTTCTTCAAGTCTAGAAAAAGGAATTATTTTTCTTGCCTCCTATAATTTACATCTATAAGGCATCAGAGCAGACACCAGTGCTGTCCCATAAAGTAGAAAACACCAAACAATTCATATTCATTTAAGAAGCAGTTACTGGGTGCTTACTATGTTCCAGGCTCTGGGATACCATTTTTTAAAGGACGACACACACACACACACAATTATATAAATGAGTCCAAACAAAGAATGGTGGGAAATTGGAAGAGAGACTAACTCTTCCTGGACAATCAGAAAGGATTTCAAAGTGTTATTTAAGTCCATTATTTATGTAAGCAGGGTAAAGGCATTTCAGGTTGAGGGAATAGCAAACTCAAAGCACCAGAAAAGCCACATTGGGCTTGAAATGGAACATTGCTAGTCTGTAATCAGATTTTAAAACTCTGTACGCAAAGTTAAGGAGCTTGAATTTCCCTGACAGTTTTATGCAGTGTTTCATGTTATAAATATACACAATGATAAGAAAAGTACTATTAAAAACAACTAGTTACTATATTTACATATATATCATATAAACAAAGCTAAAAAATATATACATTTGGTAAAATTTGAAAATCAGAATGGGGATTCCAGGTTTTGTTACTTAAGATTTTTAATAAGCTCTTATATGTGTTACTTCAAATTCCTACAAGATTACCTCAACAAGAAAAAACAAACACAAAAACACTTTCAACAAATCAAATAAATGGAAAAACTCAGAAGCATAGTTACCTTAAACTGACACAATTCCCAAGCTCTGGAGGAATTTGTAGAAGGTCATTATTTTGAAGGTCCAGCGTAATCAGATTTTCCATCATTTTCATCTTCTGAGGGTCCAGGGATCCAACCTGATTGTTACTAATCAGAACTGTTTCAAGCGTGGAGATACGATATAGAACTTCAGGCAGTACTTTGAACCTATTAAAAAATAAACAGAACACCTAAATAAACTGGAATCAGAGGTCAGAATAATTTCTTAAAATACATAATCTTTAGCTTAATACAATGAGGTATTGTTTTCTTTGGTGTATATTATTTTATATTTAAGTTCTGTATTTCACATTTGCCATAAAACAAAGAAAATGGGCAGGTTTGGAAACCTTTAAATATATGTTAAGTGGATAAACTTTTAACAGATTCTATTTACTCTATAAAATAAGTTTAAATTCTCCCATGCTTTTATGTTCACATTCAGGAGATAAGGAAATCCTCCTGAGATTCTCTATAGAATTTATCCTTTTATATAGTCTCCTTAGTTCACTTTTACTTCTTACTGATCTAGTGAGTAAAATTAGTTTTATAGTTCCTTTCATTAAAGCTTCCAAAATGAATATACTTTTGGTTCTTGAGAAGCTGAAAAACTAGTACAGGTTATTGGCTTGCCTGCCCAAAGTGACCCTAAATATGCTGCAAGAGTTGGGATGGTTGATGGCTCTCAGAGCAGTACTTGGAAATTAACACAAAATCTTTGAGGAACCCTTGGGATACAGAAGCTGGCAAGAATTCTCTTTGAGGTAAACTGTAGCCCGAAGTAGAAAAGACAAGGATAGGATAAAGGAGAGCCCTTCAGCTGCAGCCTTTTCACTGCCTTATGCTGTCCTTCCTGTGCAAAACAGCAATAGTGGAAGGTCAACAGTAAGGCAGCTCTGAGGTTCCAATGACACTGGAGAGCCACTAATGAGGAGTAACGATGAGCTGAATGGCCCCTGAGTGCTCTCTCCTATTCTCCTCTCTCCCAAGGTAGTTATAAAAAATATAGCTCATCTGTTAAAACAGAAGTTAGGATTAGCTTTTGGCCCTTCTCTAGAGACATTACTTACCAAAGCAACTAATAGCTTAAAAGACAAATAGATGGATTCACAAATAAAAATTAGGAGAAATCTGGGCAATGCATATATCTTGAACTAAAGACAACAATGTTATAACCTATTCATGAAAAGGCACAAATAATGGAGCAGACAGACAAGAATTACAATATGCATAATAAATATCCTAAGAAAAGAAAAAATTTGAGAAACACACAGCAGAAACAAGGAATTATAAAAAGGAACTAGTAATTTAGTTGTAAAAATATAAACATCGAAATAGACTTCAAAAGGTAAGTTGACCATCATAACAAATTATCACTGAGAACCGGGGGAGAATTTTCCTAGATTGCTTCAGGAAAAGATAAAGAGAAGGAAAGAATAAGAGATGTTAAAGAAGTGGATAATAAAAGTAGCCCTGTCAACACTCATCTAAAAGGAATCTCAAAACGGAAGAAAGGAAGAAACAAATAAGAAGAGGAAAATCATAAAACTGTAATGATCAAGAAATTTCTAAAATCTAAAAAAAATATTTAAAAGGCTAATAGTATGCTAACAGAGTGGATTAAATAACTACTAAAAAAATTGGCAGATACACTCTAACTAGGGTCCTTTTAAAAAGTCTGTGTGAAATATTAACTACTAATACCAGTAGTTTCCAAAGAAATAGATTACCTACAAAGGAATAATAATCATGTTGCACCAGACTTCTCTAGAGTAAGAAAATAATGAACTATTTAAATGTGTGGAAACAAAATGATTTTGATCCTAGAACTCAACATTTGAATTAAAGAGCAAATAAAAGATAGTGACTTATGGTTTCAGAAAATTTACCATACAAAGATTTCTTTCTTAACAATACTTACAGTGTTCTCCAGCTAAGGAAAAATGAATCCAGGAAGAAAAAGAAACATAGGAGAAGTAAGGATGAGTAAAAAACTTATATAAGGTTTACTATGTTTAAGCAGCAGAAGGGAATCAATCAACCTAATGGAAGGAGAAAGGGAGAAAGGGAGAAAAAGAAACACAGAAGGAAAGTAATTATGAAACAAAATAAGATGGCAAAAATGACCACTACTATAGCAATTAAATAGGAGCTCTGGTAGCACAGTGCCTAAGGCACTTGAGTGCTAACCAGAAGTCTGGTGGTTCAAACCTACCAGCCACTCCTCGAAAGGAAGGTTGGGCAATCTACTTCCGTAGTGATACTGCCTCAGAAACCCAAGGAGGGGTCGCTATGAGTCGGGTCCAACTAGATTGCACATAACAACAACAACAACATAGTAATTAAATGTAATGGGCTTAATCACTGAAGAAACAGAGATTCTGAGTAGGTCAAAAAGCAAGATAACAATATATTAACTACAAGAGTTACATTTAAAACAAAACAACTCAGGAATGTTAAGAATCAAGGAATGAAAAAAAGACATACCAGGCAAATGTAAACTAAAAGTCCCTGACATAGTCATTTGACTATCAGAAGGGGGAGAAAAAAAAAAATTAAAGTGAAAAAATAAGGGACACAGAAAGTTGATATATGTAACATATCAAGCTGAGGTGGCAATCATGAACACATATGCCCTAATAAATCTTTAAAATACCTAAAGCAACAATTCGACTAAACTACCAAAAAAAAAAAGTGATTAAACTACAATTATAATTGGAGATTTTAATGTAGTCTTCTCAAAAACTGAAAAAGCAGCAAAAACAGACCAAGTAAGATTTAGATAGCATGATTAAAGGTAATCTGATCTGTTACATTGACAGAAATTACACCTAACAAAGGGAGAACAGATGTTTTTTGACAAGTAATGAAGGAAATCACAATAAATTCCAAGGAATCAACGTGACGTATACTGTATACTATAGCCAAATGCACTGAAACCAGGTACCAGTAACAGAAAGCTAAATTAAAAAAAAGGAAAACTAGACTAAATAACTCTTAGATGAAAGAAGAAATCTAAAACTGCAAAATATTTAGAGCTGAATGGAATATAACATATATTCCTTAATATTATAAAAGTTGGTGGGTAAATGTTAAATCATTATTAAGACAAGGATACCTGTATTACCTAGTCTGATATGGTACTGGAGGTTCTAGAGAAAGCAGTAAGACGGAAGAAAAGGAATAAGAGGTATATGAATTGAAGAGGCAAAATTGTACTTATTTACAAATGATATGACTAGATATGAATGAGTAAGTATACAGAGTTTTGTTAAAGAGATTAATTTGATATGATTAGGGTAACTTTAAAAAAAAAAGAAGGAAGGGAGAAAAAATGTGAGGCAGGAGAACCTGAGACTACAGTAACAGAGAGGCTCTTTGTCTTAACTGGCTCTTGCCTCCAGATACCTGCTGCTATCATTGCAATGTTCTCAAGTGAAGGCTGTTTCCTTTCTCAGTGTCCCACATACCACAAGGTTGAAGGTAGTGCTACATTTCTGCTGGCTGTCATCAATACTGACTGGTATTACAGACTGACATACAGCACAATCTTTTCAAGAACTGTGAAGAGGTCTTTCAAGCTAACAAGTTAGCCTGCCACAGTTTCCCAGATTTTGGCAAATACACAAGGCTTCTGAATCAGACAAAAAAGACTTTTATTATTCACAGTACAGCACAGTGAGTGAGCATCAATATGTTTATGCCAAAGTCCCTGCCCCATATTCCATCAGGATGTGGATCACCTAGGTGAATGCCTAAACACAGTGTGTTATGTCATAGGAGAGGAACCTGAGCTTAAGGAATCTTTTATATGATGGGTAGTAGGCATACCTACCCTTTGCTCTGTAAGGAAGCATTATACCTTCCAAGGATGCAGGGAAACCTGCTCTTTGCTCTCAAGGGAGATACTATCTCTCTCTTTTAAGGGTGTTGGCTATGCAACCATACCTGAAAAGACAGTCTGGAAGAAAGGGCGGTTAATGCCTCACTCAAAGATGTGCAAAAATGCAAGAGAGCCACATAGAACTGTCTAAAAACAGTGTTAAATAAAAACATGATGAAAGAATAAATAAAATTATAATGTCTCATACGCCATCTCAGCAGATCCTCTCTCATCAAACAATTCAATTAAATATGCTCAGTCAGCTCTTTCTTCAATTTTTCCTTAGCTACTCTACTGAAGGCTCATAATTCTTCTCTAATTTTGATTAACTTTTGTCCCTTCCTTCCTCAGAAGATGATATTATTTCTTATAATTGGCAAGAAATTAAAGGACATTAGGCATACATTCTCTTAATTTCTTCTTCCTACCCAAAATGAATCTGCATCTGCACCTATCATTATATTCTCTGAACTTGGATCAAAGTAAAGGTTATCCTTCCTTCTATTCAAGGTTAATGCTTTAAATCCTGTCAAACTACAAAATGACAATGCTCTATTAAATAACCCCTCTCTATCATATAACTGCATCCTCTTCCATTCTATTTGATTACTGTCAACAGCATATAAATATATTTGTTCTTCCATTTTTAATACACACAATCTCCTTCCTCCTTGTTGGAGACCAAGAAAAAGACCACCAAAAGGACATAATTGCAAGGCACATGTTCTAACAATAGCTAAAAGAAGGCAAGGCCTCTCTTATGGTTGAGTGGTTGCTTGGCTCCTACTATTGTGTTCCTGGGGTGGAACATTGCCCCAGCAGAATGTTTGCTAACCTGTTTTACTGGAACAAAGTTTTACCCTAAGAATAGTAAGTTTCAGTAACCATATTTTAGAATAATGTATCTTGGTAATTATTTCATACCTTAAAATCACGTACCCTAATAATCACATTGTTTTAGAATAATACATTTTGGTGATTATTCATTATTTTTGGAAGAAATGTTAACCTAATTAATCATCTATTGTTTTGGGGCATGGGAAAAGACCTCCAGGTATGGGAAAGAGTAAAGTTTTAACTTTGTAGAGAATATTTGATTGTCTTAAGCAGATTCTTTGATTGCATTAAGCAGATTCCAAGAATAATACTGTAATCATGAGTTTATGTATAAATAAAGCAGAGCGGATGATGCATCAGGGGTCGCTCACGCATTATATGCAGAGCATCCACCTGGCCCCCGTTCCTTTCAAACCTTTAATCCTTTCGTGTCGCTTTGTTTCATGACCTGTGTTGTTTTCCTGGACGCGGCACCTCCCGACTCATCCTACACCCCTTCAAACATGTCCTCCTTTAGCTTTGCTATGTAGCTCTATTTCCTTTCAGAGCCAAGTTCCATTCATTCAACAGTATTGTCAAGGATAAAATGGTGAACAAAAGCAACATGGTCCCTGGCTTCATGGTCCTTAGGAGAAAGGACTGGAGAGCAAGAAGGTTAATACTCATATGAGTAAAAATTGAAGAAGCATAGACCATTTAAGGTTTCAATGTTGTTGTTGTTGTTATGTGCCAGCGAGTGGGACCTGACTCATAGCGACCCCTCCTTGGGTTTCTGAGGCAGTATCACTATAGAAGTAGATTGCCTAACCTTCCTTCCAAGGAGTAGCTGGTAGGTTTGAACCACCAGCCTTCTGGTTAGCAGTCAAGTGCCTTAGGCACTATGCCATCAGCGCTCCCAAGGTTTCAATAAGAGAGTAAAAGTTAATGGGGCTTGAATTGTGGTCACTGTCTGGAGATTATAGGAATGGATAGCACAAACAGTGTTTTATAGCTCAAATACTTGGCTATATGAACTTTGTAGATCAAGTCCTAGCTCTATCTGGTGTGGTTTCAGCAAATGCTGCCTTACAAGAAGAAAGTGTTGCTAGAACCTCTTCAATGGCCATTCATTGCTGTAAAACATTCTAATCCATCCTTCTTCATCTTTGAGAGGCAAGATAGCATACTGGTTAAAGACACAGACTCTGCAACCAAACTGAATGTGTTTGAACCATAAGTACGTTACTTAATTCTAATGCTCAATTTTTAAATGGATATAATAACAGAACCTACCATGTAAGTTTTTTATTATGAGGATTGAATGATAAAAAACATGTAAAGTACTTAGCACAGTGTCAACATATAATAGCCTAATAAATATTAAAAAAAAAAAAAAAAAGATTCACTGGCATCAAGTTGGATTTGACTTATAGAGACCCCCCCTTAGTTTCAGAGGGGTTATCATTATGGAAATAGATTGCCCAACCTTTCTTCTGAGGAGTGGCTGGTGGGCTTGAACCGCCAGCCCTCTGGTTAGCAGTCAAATGCCTTAGGCACTACGCCACCAGAGCTCCTCAATAAATACTAAATCCTCTTAATTATCTACAGTATCTTTATAGGATTTGCAGAATAAAATCTACTTTTCATATAGGGTTGCTATGAGTCAAAATTGACTTGACAACAATGGATTTGGTTTTGTTTGGTGTTTCATCTGGCATAGAAAGTTCTTAAAGGGCCAGCTACTGCATACATGAACAAACTTATCTGTTACTTCTACTTCTCTACCTCCTATAATTTATGGTCTAAGACTTAATGAATTTCTTGAAGTTTCCAAACACATCCTTGTGGCTTTACATGTGCTTTTTGCTCTACCTGGAATGCTCCTTCCCTTTGTACCTGGCAAATGCTTGTCTATTTTTCAAGCCTCAGTTTCAATGCTACCTTCTGAGGTAATCTCAAAACCAAAAAACCAAACTCACTGCCATCGAGTCAGTCCCGACTCACAGCGACCTTTCCTTGGGTTTCTGAGGCGGTATCACTACGGAAGTAGATTGCCCAATCTTCCTTCTGAGGAGCTGCTGGTGAGTTTAAACCACAAACCTTCTGGTTAGTAGTCAAATGCTTTAGGTACTATGCCACCAGAGCTCCCAGGTAACCTCAGGAGATACCTTTTCAATGCACTTGGTTTCTTTGGTTATGTTTCCATTATAGCAATCAGATATAATAATTATTTATTTGCATATTTATCTTCCTACTAGACTACACGTTTCTCAAAATGGAAAAAAAGAACAAAAAAGTACTATACATTCATTCTAAGCAAGCAACATCATTTTCAATCTTAAGAAGGAAAGTTGGGCAATCTACTTCCGTAGTGATACTGCCTCGGAAACCCAACGAGGGGTCGCTATGAGTTGGATACGACTCTACGGCAGTGGGTTTGGCTTTGGTTTAGGTGAAAATAAAGCCCAAATATTTAAAAATATGGGGCCTTATTGTTTATCTACAGTGGTTAAGTGTTCAGCTACTAACTGAAAAGTCAGTGGTTCGAAACCACCGGCATCTCTGTGGAAGAAAGATGAAGCAGTTAGTTTTTGTTAAGATTAATCTCAGTGCCATCAAGTTGATTTTGACTCACAGAGACCCTAAAGGACAGCATAGCAGTGCCACATAGGCTTTCTAAGGCTGTGATCTTTACAGAGACAGGCTGCCATCTTTCCCCCATGGAGTGGCTTTTGGGTTCAAACTGCTGAGTGCTTAACCGCTATGCCAACAGGACTAATAGCCTTGGAAACCTCATAGGGGAATTCTACTCTGTCCTATATGGTTGCTATGTCAGAACAGATCCAACAGCAATGAGTGTTTTTTTGGTTTATTGTTTATCTGCCTCTTTTCATCATTTTTCTCTAGTAAGAAAGATGTAGAAATATTCCATAAAATAATAGCGAATTGTCCGTTCTCTTACCTATTAAAAGAAAGATTGATCATTTGTAGTCTTATCAATGATTCCATTTCTTCAGGCAAAGAATTTAAAAAATTGTTTCTAAATTGGGAAGAAAAATAAAGGAGTTAGAGAGTTTGAAAATTTTTATAATTTTAATTCATTATTAAAATATTACATGAATATTACACAAGAATAAATTATTTACATCAGTTTAGGAACCCTTATCTGGTCTCAAAAAGACTGAGTCCTTAGAATTCTAAGTTAGTTGCCTCAAGAACCTGATTAGGGTGCAAAGTCCTTAATAACACCAATATAAAACCAAATGGTATTACAACTAACTCCTTAATAGTATATTTGTCAAAGTAAATGTTGTAAATGAGTCTCTTATCTCTTTCAAATAGACTCAGCAATATTGTTCAGACAGGACCCTTTAAATCATATCTATAATAATACCACACTAAATATTCAAGTGGTCTTAACACATATGTTTCATACACAAACATGAAATTTTATTCCAAGCAGAATTTTTAAATTTAGAGGAAAAAACTGAAACAGGAAGATAAAGAGACTGTATATGTTTATAAACTCAGAGTTTTCTACTGCAAAGGTATTAAGCAGTTCATTTCTACTCCTAAGTTTAGAATTTCAATTTGCACAACACATTTTTGGGATCTCATGATAAAACAAGGAAGTGAACACAATCTCATTTATCATAGGAAGAATCTGGGGGCAATTTTAGAAGGAAGGGTAACAATAAGGCAAAAGGATTCTAGAGGCATACAACTACCAAATAATAAAATACATTTGTGAGAAAACTTCCAACTAGATGGCTACATAGAAATGAAAACTTATAACTGGATACTTTTCTCTAACCTATTGCTTTGCATTCAGACATCAAGTCTGTTATGTAAGAGTCACATTTTCTACAATGCAATCTATTTTCTTTTCTCTATACTTAGTTCCAGTTATTATCCCTAAGTTGTAATGAATCACCTACTGCTGGTTCCTATCCTTTTCCTTAAGAACCCCAAACCTCCTAATAACAGACATGAAAGCAGATTTTGATCACTAAATTATAAACTAGTTATAGACAGAGGCCTGTATATATACATAGAGAGAGAGGAGACTGAGGGAAAAGGAAGTAAAACAGAAGCAATGGAGGCATGGATTCATCCCAAATGTGGTTTTACAGTGTTTTGACAGTATAGCTACCACCTAAAAACAGAAGTGATTTCTTATTAGTAGGAGTAGGATGTTAGTAGATTTGCTTTAATTCCATAAATGAAAAAAAAAAAAAATTGTACATGCTAAAGGGGCACAGAGGTGGCATCTTCTGACCTTCTCTAAATCTACACGAGGAAGACAGAATCACCATCAGCAGCCCTGTCCTTATGAGACCAGGCTTGCTGCCACCCTCCATCTCTCTTACCAACTTCGACACCAACTGCCCTTCTTGCAGCACCCACCAGCTCTCTGCTGGGTTTGATAATTTGTTGCAGTGGCCACACAGAATGCAAAGATTACGGGGCTTATTAGGGAAGCAACAGGCTACAATTCAAATTCAGGAACACGCTCAGGATACAGTTCTTTGATCAGGACAGTCTCCCCTCTGCTGTGTCCTTAGACACGCTTCTCTGGCCCATGGCTTCTCAACCTGGCCTCTGCCTCTGTGGGCCAGACAAGCCTACCGCTCTGCCTTTGCTTCTTGGTTCCACTGCTGCCATCTCTCAGCAGGGCGAGTCTCTCAGCAGCATGTCTCTTTCTCAATAGCGTGTCTCTCTCTCAGCAGTGCATCTCTCTCAGCTAGCAGTGAGAGATTCCTTCTGCCTCTAGGAAGATGCATTTTGAGCCTAGCAGAGTGGCAAAATCAACCAATCCCAACATCAGAGTTCTACACACCTGAGAGAGAGTGAACTTTCCCAAAAGATTATTTAGTGTTGTTCCATCCAGGTGGATGACTTTAACAATCAGGAGTTTAAATTGCATAGTCCCACCCAGTAATCCAGTGAGAGTTACAAAGGCTATGGCTAGAAAAGCCATACCATGTAATTTATTACACCACAGGTCACCCTCTGGCTTTTCTAGCCATCATCCCTTTTATACTTCAAAAATTAACATCCCCTTCACCATCAGTTTAAGAACAACCACACCCATGAAATCATGTAAGCCAGCATCTGCATCCATAACCAAGTAAAGTCCAGCCTAGCATATGCCATCAAATTGCAGCAACTCAACACCAGCTCAATGTCCAACATCCTCCTCTTCATTTGGTCAGGTTCTGGTCTGCTCAGCCCTAGCCATCTCAGCTAGGTCATGGGTACCAGCTGCAAGTTTGGAAGTCACACTCTTCCCTTCACTTCAGACCAGCCATCACTTTCTCTCTCTCATCCTTAGACCTCAGGGACTATTTCAATACCTGTAGGTTCACAACTCCTTGCACTTCAGACCAGCCAGCCCTTCCTCTCATGCCCAGCCTCTGTGGGCTAAGTCAAAGAGTACCAAACTCGTCCTGTTTCTTCACTGCTGCACTTCCCCCACTTCCACTCAAGTGGACCCAGGTGATCATAAGCAAGCAGTATACAAGGCTTCTACTCACTGGTTTCCTTTAACTTCCAGTCCTGGAAGAGGTTTCTCTCATGGACAATGAGTTTCCTGCCTTAATGCACCCAAAGCTAATCCACTTGCTTGAAATTCAAAAAGCCAAAGTCATTTTTTTTTTCTCTGTAGGTCCTGTCTTCAAATGCTGATCTTCTGTTCTCTCAGTAGTTCTGGGTGGGGCTCAGGTTTTCTACCTAAGCGTCCTATACTCTACACACAGGGTTTGAGACAAAAGCCTGTGTTTTATCCAGGAAAATTCGATTTCCCCTTCTAACATATCCAATCAAGTATTGGCTGAAGGCAGACTTACATGCTCTCTGTTATCCATACCCAATAATCATTTCTAATGTACAAGTAGGTAAGAGAACATTCAATATCCTAGTACATTCAGATAAACACATAATCCAAAACATATAATCCTTTTTAAGACATTCCAGTTTCATCTCCACCTTGATTATCTTCCCATTCTATGTATATGGCTGGGGCCTTTGGCTGGGTGTAACCAAAAGCCCTTCTCCCCTCAGCTACAGCACAATGTCTCTATATTCTGCCATTACCGGTAACACCAACTAAAGTAACCATCTAAGAATCCAAAGTTTTACTTCCCAGGCTCTTTCCTTCTTTTACAAAATCCCATGCGTCTATAAGTCTGGGACCACTGCAACGAATCCCACTCCTGACACCAACTGCTAAAGGGGTACAGAAGTGGCATCTTCTGACCTTCTCTAACTCCTCAAGAGCAAAACAGAATCAGAATCAGCAGCCAACCCTTGTTCTTATGAGGTCAGATATGCCTCCACCCTCCAGCCCTCTTATAATCAATCTTGACACCAACCGTCCCTCTCGCAGCACCCACCACCTCTCTGCTGGGTTCAATAATTTGCCGCAGTGGCCACACGGAACTCACAGATTATGGGGTTTATTAGGGAAGCAACAAGCTACAATTCAAGTTCAGGAACATGCTCAGGATACAGTTCTTTGATCAAGACAGTCTCCCATCTGTTGTGTCCTTAAGGCATGCCTCTCTGACCCTTGGCCTCTTGGCCTGGCCTCTGCCTTTTTGGGCCAGGTAAGCCTGCCGCTCTGTCTCATGCCTCTTGGTTCCACTGCCACCATCTCTCAGCCGGGCATCTCTCTTAGCAGCACGTCTCTATCAGCAGCATGTCTCTCTCAGCAGGACATCTCTTTCAGCTGGCAGTGAGAGATACCTTCTACCTCTAAAAGGGCTCATATTGAGCTTGGCAGAGTGGCAAACCCAACCAATCCCACTATCAGAGTTCCACACACCTGAGAGAGAGCAAACTTTCTCAGATTACTTCTAATTGCTCCAAAAGAAATATTCCAGGTGGATGACTTTAACAATCATGAGTTTAAATAGCATGGTCCCACCCAGTAATCTGGTGGGAATTACAAAGACTATGGCTAGAAAAGCCATACCATGTAATTTATTACAAAGCAATACAGAAAAACAAATCCTTAGCTTATTGTCATTTGCCTATTGTTTGAACAGAAGGCAAGCGGATTTATATTTTAAATAAACTAGAAGCACATCTAGAAACAATATGTAAACACTAAGGTGGCACAGTGCCTATGGCATCTGACTGCCAACCAGAAGGGTGGCAGTTCAAACCCACTAGCCACTCCATGGAAGGAATATGGGGCAATCTATTTCTGTGAAGATTTACTACCTCAAAAACCAAATGTGGGTCACTGAGTCAGAATTGACTTGATGCCAGTGGGTTGTTTTTTTTTAAGGAAGTCTAGGCATTAGAAATATATATTTTACAAATAAATTTCTAAAGCCCAAGCAAATAAATGACCCTAACCCCGACACAAAATAGTTGAACTGTGAAATGTGTGATCCTGTTACTTCGACCTGGACATTAAAAAAAAAAAAAAAAAAAACTCACTTCCATCAAGTTGTTTCCGACTCATAGTGAACTCCATTGGGTTTCTGAGTCTATAAATCTTTATGGAAGTAGCTCACCCCATCTTCCTTCTGCAGAGAGGCTGGTAGTTTGAATGCTGACCTTCCAGTTAGCAATAAGTGCCTTATCTACTATACCCCCAGCAGGGTCATAGATTAATTAAATTAAACTTCCAATTATGTCTGTAAGGAGCTCTGGTGGGGCAATGGTTAAAGCATCTGGCTGCAAACAAAAGGTCAGGGGTTTAAACTCTCCAGCCACTCCTCAGGAGAGAGATGGGCAGTCTGTTTCAGTAAAGATTCACAACCTTGGAAACCCTATAGGGCAGTTCTACTTTCTGTCCTATGGGGTTGCTATGAATTGGAATTGACTCGATGGCAGTGGTTTTTTTGGTATTATGTCTGCAGAAGACCCTTAAACACAAATTCCTTTTTTTTTTTTTGCCCCTCACAGTTTCTTTTTCTTCCTTTTGGCCTTGTTATTTAGCGTAATATTTTGAAACCACGTAGATTCTTTAAGGCGAAACTATGTAAACTGTTAGTCCAGCAAAGAGTTGTAACAGTTTTATCCATCACTTGAGGAAAGAAACAGCATGAAACAAACATATCCTTCAAGGAAAATCATTTAAATAGCACAAAACATCAGGAATAATATTAAGCCCTCTTATTTCTAAGTAACCATATCAGTTACTGAGCTACAACTATATAACAGACTACCACCATTTGCAGCTTTAACACTTAAAATGTGAATTATTTGTAATTCACACTAAATGTTCATGATATGTGTTTACTTGTAATTTTGCTTAGGCATGAATGTGTTAATATTTTCTAATGTTTTAAATAATTTTATGTCTCTTTATCACATAACTTATAAACAGCTTACATGATTGATGTCTGTTTAAAACATTTCTTAAATGTTTAATGTTACATTTCTCCTGAAATATGAGTAATAAATTGAAGACTAGTTTCTGTATTTACTTAGGAAAGTAGGAGGGGAAGAATAAAAGTTAGGCAAACTCAAAGACAAGTTTTGAAGAAAAAAATCAAGTAAAAGTATCAATAAATACCTGAGATCTAAAAAAGTCAATTTTTGAAGCATACATAACTCCAATGATATAAAGGACAGCTTATTAAAACTGAGGTTGACATCAGAAACCATTTCCTTCAGTTCCACAATCCTGAAATAAAATTAATTTTAAGATGTTAGCACTTAAATTCACTGTCAGAACTTCAAAACTACAAGTATATCATAATGGGAAAAATCCTATATTTTGCTAGTTTAGATTTTCTGTAACTTTTACTTTTCTTATAAAAATATTAATAAGTTTCTTTAAAAAGAAAAAAATACTATTATCTGTTTCAAAAGTTTCTTTTATGTTGTAGTTTGATTTTAAAAATTAAACAAAACCATTTATTTTGTATTTAAACCAATTAGGGCACAAAGAAGAAAAATAAACCTGGGCATTGTTTATACTTAATTCTGCTAATGACTTAAAGCCATAAAATAAATTATTAGACATATACCCTGTAAGAGGTCTCTACTTAAACAATATAATACCATGTATATCCAGGTACTTTTAAAAAGATTTTTAGTTATATTGATATAGTCAACCTTTTCAAAGTAAAGTATAGTATTTATTATCCAAATTATTACCACACTTAAACATGATTAAATTTGGCAAATGTCCCCACTAAGTAGATTATGTTAAAGACTTAAAGAAGAAGAAGCAGTAAATGAGTTCCTGGGTGATGCAAATGGTTCACATACTTGGCTGCTAACTGTGAGTTTGAGGGTTCAAATCTACCTAGAGGCAGTTTGGGAGAAAGGCCTGGCAATCTACTTCTGAAAGTCCAGCCACTGAAAACCCTGTGGAACACAGTTCTATTTTGGCGTATATGGGGCTGCAATGATTTGGAAAAAACTCAAGAACAAGTTGTTATTTATTTATTTATTTATAAATCTAATCAAGCTTAGTAGCTTTAGGAGTGTTATTAACTCTAAGAACAACTAATGTTATGTCTGATTTGTCAACTCACAAAACTAACTCATTGCCATCGAGTTGGATCTGACTCAGAGCGACCACTCCTTGGGTTTCCGAGGCAGTATCTCTACAGAAGTAGATCGCCTAACCTTCCTTCTGAGGAGTGGCTGGTGGGGCTGAACTGCCAGCCTTCTGGTTAGCAGTCAAATGCCTTAGGCACTATGCCACCAGAGCTCCTTGATTTGTTAAGAGATGAAAATTAACTTATAGCATTAAATCTTTTTATCTATTCCATTAGCAAATAAAAAGGGAAAGAAAGAATATCAAATAATGTGCTTAAGTAGATGCGATAAAGACACAATGAGTTTAGCTATGTAACTATAAATCTTTTCTAGAAAGCTTTTGGATATATGTATCAAGATCCATACCTTTGACTTAGTAATTTTTCTGGAAATCTGGCCTGAAGAAATAATATAAAATATAGAGAAGACTTATTGCCATAATAAACCTTTTGGAATATATTTATATTAGATTTTAAAAGCAGTGCTTAAAAAGGGGGAAATACTGAGACAAATAAACAAGTGAAGATACAAAATTTTATGTATGGTGTAATTAATACCTTGAAACAAAATATGTCACAAAGTTAATGAAATAAGTCAGTGATGGAACTAAAATGATGTTTCCTTTCATACAGTCCAAATATTTTTATGAATAAATATTAATTTGATTCAGAAAATAGTATGATGAAAAGTACAACTTGTGAAATAAAAATTTAAGAAAGAGGAAAAATTGTTTAGAAACTCTCTGGTAAAGTATTTCTCATATCTTTCTTCTTTGGCTCCTAATTTGCTACAAATCCAGTGAAATAGCTGTGGTAACAGAATAAGCTGTTTTGCATGTGAAGAACCAGACTGAGGGATAAAATGAAAAATAAGTAATAAATTAAATATCAATGACTCTTAAGATTTCTATCCTCATTCCCAATTAGCTTTTGGACCTAGTTATGCGAGAAAAACTAAAGGAATGTCAGAATAGGGCCAGTCATAAATACTTGTCCCAAATTATAGTAATAACAAATCTCCAGAGGCATTAAGTAATTTTCAAAGAGATTAGGCACTTTTAAAGATGATCCTGGAAATAGCTGGTCTGATACAGGATCCTTCATAGCAAACTTATCCTAAGAGCCAATCTAAATAGTCAACTATTTTATCAAATCTTCTGAGTTCAGAGAACTAGGAGATGGACTAGATCTCCTTTTGCAAGGGAACATCTTAAAGTTGTCATCTTTAAAGATCTACATTTCCCAAACTCAAAAAAAAAAAAAAATCAAACTCACTGCTATAGAGTCCATTTGACTCATAGCGACCCCTCCTTCGGTTTCTGAGGCAGTATCTCTACAGAAGTAGATTGCCCAATCTTCCTCTGAGGAGTGGCTGGAGGATTTGAACCACCAGCCTTCTGGTTAGGAGAAGGTTAGGTTAGGTACTACATCACCAGAACTCCTATTTCCCAAACTATGTTCTATAAAATAAAAAGCATACTATATTTTGTCTGACTTTTTTAAAATTATAGATAACTGAAAATTTTTGTTTGCATCACATTAAATCCATTCTATTTTTCTAACACATTACCCTCCTCCTTCTCATAATCTTGTTTGTCTGTTTGTAAGTATTTAAATGCTTATAAAGCACTAAACTGTTTATCATGAAGTTGACTTCAGACCCCATGTTTATGAGAGCAGAACAGTGCACCAAACGTTTTCACCGGCTGGTTTTTTGGAAGTTTATCACCAGGCCTCTCTTTTGAGGCAGCTCTGGGTAGACGGGAAGCATTGGCCCTGGTTAAATGTCTTATGTGAATTATGTCATTTAATGTAATTGTTTGTTATTACAAAAAAAAAAAAAAAACAACCCAAACTCACTGCCATTGAATTGATCCCATCTCATAGGGATCCCTGTTGGGTTTCTGAGGTGGTAAATCTTTACAGAAGTATAATGCCCTGTCTTCCTTCCATGGAGCAACTGGTGGATTTGAACTACCAACTTTCTGGCTAGCAGTCAAATGCCTTAGGCACTATGCCACCAGAGCTCCTTTAACTCTTATTAAGATTAATTAAAAACCTGCAACAGGCAGATGATACAGCCTTGTTTGTTGAAAGTAAAGAGGACTTGAAGCATTTCCTGATAAAGATCAAAGACCACAGCCTTCAGTATGGATTACATCTTAACATAAAACAAAAATCCTCACAAATGGACCATTAAGCAACATCACAATAAATGGAGAAAATACAGAAGTTGCCAAGGCTTTCATTTTACTTGGATTCACAATCAATACTCACAGAAGCAGCAGTTAAGAAATCAAATGACATATGGCACTGGACAAATCTCCTGCAAAAAACCTCTTTAAAGCGCTAAAGAGCAAAGATACCACTTTGGAGACCAAGGTGCACCTAACCCAAGCCATGGTATTTTCAATTGCTTCATATGCACGTCATAGCTGGATAATGAATAAGGAAGACTAAACAAGAACTGATGCATTTGAATTTGGGGGTTGGTGAATAATATTGAAAATACCATGGACTGCCAGAAGAACAAACAAATCTTTCTTAGAAGTACAGCTGTAATGCTCCTTAGAAGCAAAGATGGCGAGACTTTATCTTACATACTTTGGATGTGTTATCAGGAACGGCCAGCCTTTGAAGTAGGACATCATTCATGGCAGAGCAGAGGGTCAACAAAAAAAAGAGGAAGGGCCTCCACGAGATGCACTGAAACAGTGGCTGTAAAAATGGGCTTAAATATAGCGATGATTGTGAGATTGGTGCAGGACCAGGCAGTGTTCTTTCCTGTTGTATACAGGGTTGGTATCAGTCAGAACCAACTTGAAAGCACCTAACAACATTATTATCCCTATTTTACAGGTGAAAAAACTAAGAGCATCTATTCAGCCTATCTACAATCACACATCTAGTAGATCTCGGATATAGATACAAGCAACTGACTTTGGTGCCAAAGTTCTTCATCATTATCCTATCCTGTCTCAAATACTGATGTTTCAATTGCTACAATTAGATAAAATTTTGCTACAATTAGCATCAACAAAGATATATTAAATCGGGGAGTTCCAGCAAGATGGCGGACTAGGCAGAAAGACTGTACAGACCCTCTGCAACAAAGAAAAGGGAAACCAATTAACACAGACACAGAAGATAATCTTGCACCCCTGAGCCTTGAAGGGAAGGGTACAGAAGTGGACTAAACCCCAACTAGCAGAAGAATTTGCGTGAAAATACCAAAAAAGGAGACATACGGAGCTGCGGTCTGGCAGTGATCCTGAGCGATCCTGACGGCACAGACAGCTTGGAGATTCCTGAGTGCTGGTAGGACTTAAGAATTAACCTAAAAATCAGCCCTGCTAGCCAGGGACTGCACAGAGCACTTCTCCAGTGGCTGGGGAACAAACACAGAAGGTGAAGAAGAGAAAGGCAGGCTGAGCTGTGGACTTTTGCCAGTCCCCAGGGCACCACCATTTTGAAGGTCTAAAAGCAGCTTGACTACTTTGGATATTTAAAGAGAGAGTGCTCTCGCGGATTTCCGGGGCTTAAGAACACATTGTACTTTCCAGCAACCCCAAGGACCCTCCAAGACTGAAAAGTTTTTTGAAGGTTATTAAATTGTAATTTGTGTCTAA